ATATATTAAAATAACGCTTTACCGAAATTCAATCTTAGTTTTAGGTATACAACGTTATTTCTAGCAGAAACTTGTATGTACGTGCAGTGTATATAGTCTATGCAGAACCGTGTAAATGAGAGAGAAGGGAAAAAGTTTGAATGTGTGTATGTATGTGTATATGTGTCGAAAGAAAGAGAGAAAGAAAAGTATAAAATCAGTCAAATGCATGTTTGGATGCGATTACACGCTTACGATCATCTTATCACTATTTGCGATTGGCTGTACACATTAATTGGTGTCAATAGCATACAATCAAAATATGTATATTTAAAATCGGTGAACTGTTCACTGTTAGACCAAGACTATTTGTTTTAAATTTTCATTACCAATAAGTAATTTAGAACCGAAGAAAATCGTTTCCATCGCGGTAGTGTTGAGATGAACGTACAAAGCATATAATAGGAATTAAGGGAAAATCATACTTGGAAGTAAAACGTACGTTAATAGCGACACACTAAAAATGATGGTCTCCAATCTTTACATAAGATAATGAAATTACGTTTTTAGCTAATTATAAATAGCATTTGCAGCGTTCGATTTATTTACTGATCCATAATGGCACCTTGAGCTGGCTGTGATTCATAACTCTAATAATTTGTTTTTAATCAACTAACATACATTTATATCGCATCAAAAGATATAATTACACGAAGTTTGTCAATGGTAGAACATTTAAAGGTGTGTACTCCAAGATCATTTTCCCTGACAGATAGTGACATCAAATGCACTGTATCACATAGAGAGCAGCACTATTATAAACATAGACATATGATTATATTTATTACAATAATTTGAAAGTTAGGTATTCTTTGTTGTTTGTATTTTACAAGCGTAACCATTATTATACATAAATAAATAACTATATAAATGAAATGAAATTTTATGTATTTGTTTTTTGATGGATTTACGCATTGACTGCGTACTTGAATAAAAATGAACAGCGTTATTATAATATAATAATCATGATAATGTCATATTTTTACAAAATATGCCTTCATTTAATGATAACGTAAATACATCGTCAACAGAAATAGAGTATCATCAATCTGTAATTCAGTGATACCCAATTTCTTAATTGTATTTTGGACTTTTTCTAATTGTTGTTTCTCAGTTGGAGTCATCATTTCTGCAATCTGTAAATGATTTTGACATAATTATTTTATTATATAGTTAAAAATAATATAATATTATATGAGTATTATATGCACCTCTGCTAACTGTTCTTCGGGAGCACCATGTTCTTTTAAATTACTTGTTAATGTTTGCATTCGCAATTGTTTATCAATCATACGCTTATTACTATTTACTTCATATTCTCGTCTTTGCATTATATTGTATAATGCATGATAACAGTGTTCGATTTCCATACGAACCACCAAATTTATATCAATATGAAATAAAAAAAATGTTTTTATTGGTGCAGCTGATACTCCACTTTTTTTTATTCCTGCATTTGTAAATAATTTTCTTGCAGTAGAGTATATGTCAAATGTTTTGCTTCTTTTGCTGGAATCATAGCTAATTGTTGAATTTGTTCTTGTTCAATGTACTTTCTAGCACGCACTAACCTATTTAGTAAAATGAATATAATTAAATTATCAATATTAAATATTATAAAATATTAAATTTTGTATTACCTAAAAATTCTAGCAGCTTTTGAACCAAATCGTTCCATTACAATATTTTCTAAAGATGCCCATGCCAATTGATTAAATGCTTCTTTCATATTAACACTATATTGACCACCTCCAGAATCTCCAACTCGTTTTAAAAATTGACTACTATCTTCCTCTGTAATAATATATTAATTGAGTTTTATGCAATATTATTTACAGTAGTTAAACATTTTACAAAACCTTTTTATGTACACCTATTATCCATACCAATGAGACGTAAATATTGATCAAGATGCTGAGTAAGTAATGGATAATTGAGTTTTTTAACTGCATCTTTTATTTCCGCAAACGGTATTGGATTGGACGTATCTTCCCATGATGCTGTTCTTAGATACATAAGAAATAATAATCGCCTCATCAATTCCCCTGCATTTTTATCAAGTCTTTTGCTTATAGATGATACAATAATTTGATCCCTATAGATCGCAAATTTCTTATCTGCTTTATGATATTTTTCATAATATTTTTTATAATATTTATATGAATCTTACCTAAAATCTTGAGTAAAACGATCAATATTGATTTCCCAATAAATTTTATCTTTAAGATTACAATTGTCTCCTTCCAAGTATTTTGCAATAGCAGCTAAATCCAAATCTGGTAATGTAAAATCACATTTTGAATTTCCTTCTTCTTCACTTTTGTTTGTACTACGCATTAAAAATTGATATTTGATAAGCAACTCAAACTTCTCTTTCAAAACTGGAATTGATGGCTGTATACTAGCTAAAAAATATGAATAAATAATTGATAGAAATTTTCTTAAAATTATCATAATACAATTATTTTTAAAGCAAAAGTTCAGAATATATACATACAAGGTAATTGTTCCATTCTTTTATATGTTTTTATAATCACTTCAGAAGCTGTTATATATCCATTTTTTAATACTTGTTCTAACATCATTTCAGCTTCACTTCCACAATTTGTTTTTACAAAAAACATATACCTATTAAAATTAAAATATTTTTTTAAAACTCTTATTTTTATTCATACATATGTAAAATAAAAATTAAATATAAAAAATTTTATATGAAATTATATATTACTTTGGATAACGAAGAATATTTAAGACTCTTTCATAAATTAAAATATATTCCATTCCCTTTTCTGTTTGACGATATTTTACAAGACCATATTTTATTAAAACACATAATGCTTCTTTGATCTAAAATAGTATTAAAAATTTGTTAATTGTTAGAGCACATGTTCATTGCCATGTTACCCATATTTGGGTGATGAGAATGTATTCGTAGACGCTCCATGAGAAACTCAACTGAATCATGCTGGGCGACGTGTTATTTTACAATATTATTTTGGCAATAATTTTTAAATAAAAATTACAAAGAATAAATTAAAAAAAAATATTAAAAACAAATTGTTACCTTTGTTACAGGAAGATGTGTTGTATGTCGAATTAATACTAATGGTTTAGCACCATATTTAAATAAATCTTCACCTACACATTGTACAATCTGTCCAAAATGTTCAAATAAAATAAAAGAACATAGTTTTCGACATATTAACGACATATTGTCATTTGACGTTCACAAAATCTGATAAATATATATAATTCAATTATATATAAATTAATCTATTATCTCTAAATTTTTAAATCTGAAATATATTTTAAATAATTTAAATAATTTATAATTATTCAAAAAAAATTGTCTACATAACCTTTAGTATATACATAATTACGAAATAAAATCTGAAATCATACCTAAATTGTATAAATATTGCTTATATTTAATAAAACTATGCTTAAGAAATATAAATTATTTTCTTCTTAACTTTATATTTCATATTTTTGTATATTACATTATTTTGAAACATTTATAAATCTACTTAATTAAAATCCATGTGCTTATACAAATAAAGGATTTGTTTCTAAAAACAGACAAATCATGGTGTACTGTGATTTATAAATAAGACTTAAGATTATTAAAAAAATTTGAAGGATATGTATAATTTTTAATAATAAATATATAATATATAAAGTATATTTAAAATAGATAAATTAATCATATACATATTATAATAATAAGTATTTTTTCCTGTATAATTTAAAGAATATCATATTTTGTGTAATTTTTATAATTTCATAGAAATGCTCCTTAAATATCGTTAGTTATCATTACTTGCAATTACGTATTTCATGCAATTCCGAAAAAGGTAAAATCATCGAATGCATCAAAGAGAACGTAATATAAACGTCAACGTAAAGGAATAAAAGACTATTATTGTTAATAAATTTGTAAAATTCATAAAATTTATTAAAGTGTGCGGCACCGTGAATGTAGAACTTCCGGCGGAACAGCATTGTCGCAGATGATCACGTGATCGAAGATCGACTTCTTCGTTTGTGGCCACGAGGTTTTGTGGTGAAAATTAAGTTTACCGGGTGGAAAAGGCCCTATATTTTTGTATTTATACAAAAATGCCCTCCAGCAATCCCTTACCACCCAAAGAAAATGCCTTGTTTAAACGAATTCTGGTGAGTAATATGCAATCAAAATACTCTGTTTTGGACCCCACTCTCCGGCTAATAGAAGTATTCATCATGCTCTAATGATGAAGCACTCTTTGAAAAATTACAAAAAATTCACTGACAATCACAGATCATAAAAATTTTATCAATGTTATGAATGAAAACGTGATTTCTTGTTTGCCTTTCACGATATTCTATAATGCCAGTTTATTCAAATACATAGTATTGAAATCATGAAAACGTTTTATTCCATGAAACGTATTTATGTTTCTTACAGAGGTGTTACGAACATAAACAATATAAAAATGGGATAAAGTTTGCAAAGCAAATTTTATCAAACCCTAAATTTAGTGAACATGGAGAGACCTTGGCAATGAAAGGTCTCACTCTGAACTGCTTAGGTCGCAAGGAAGAAGCATATGATCATGTCCGGAGAGGTCTTAGGAATGATTTGCAATCTCATGTATGCTGGCACGTTTATGGACTTTTACAACGCTCGGATAAGAAATATGATGAAGCTATTAAGTGTTATAGAAATGCCCTTAAATGGGATAAGGATAATATTCAAATTCTTAGGGACTTATCGCTGCTTCAAATTCAAATGAGGGATCTGGAGGGTTATAAGGTAAATCTTTAATATGAAAATCTATTTCTTGTTTATTATTTACACATAATTTGATTAATCCTTATATTAATTTCTTATAAGTTTGTATTGCTAACCTAATTTTCACTTCATCCAATATATATAATATTTATATATTAATAATATATGTGATGTATAATTTATATTAAAAACATTAATAAAGATATAAATAAATTTAAAAAAAAAATTAAGCAACACAATACATTGCGTGTATTATGAGTATACATAATTTAAATTTAGTTTTAAAAGTTTTAAAAATAAAGTTTATTATTTTGATTAATATATTATTAATATATGATACTTTATATTTTATATTTAATGTTCATATTCATATTTTTTTTTAGGATACAAGATATCAATTGTTTATGTTACGTCCTACACAGCGTGCTTCGTGGATTGGTTTTGCTATCTCATATCATTTATTAAAGGACTATGAAACAGCTCTTAAAATTTTAGATACATTTCGAAATTCTCCCATGGTATGTATTTCAATATTATATATCTTTTATTGTTTTTCTTTTAATGTAAAGAAAAAAAAAATATTTAAATAATACATTATGTAGATTTATTTTTCTCATAATGGTATATATTTTAATTAAGTATTAGATATGAATCTATAATCTAGAAACTTTTTTTAAATTTATAGATTTGTTACGATTATGAGCACAGTGAATTGTTATTATATCAAAATATGGTTATCCAAGAATCAGGAGAATGCGAACAGGCATTAAAACATCTTGACAAATATAGTGATCAAATTTGTGATAAAGTTACTGTAAAAGAAACATATGGTAAGTTATAATTTCTCTATAAACTTAGTCTGAAAAATATTAAATATTTTATAAAAATATCTTTCTATTAATTTCATTATTTATAGGTAAATTAAGATTACAATTAAAACAATATGCAGAAGCAGCACAAGTTTATAAGGAACTTTTAAATATAAATCCAGAAAATACAACTTATTACGCTAGGCTAGCAGAGGCTGAAAGACATACTAAACCTGAAGAAACATTAGCTATGCTCCAAAGATACGAAGAATTATTTCCTCGAGCGTTAGCACCGCGTCGCTTACAATTAAATTATGCTGTAGGAGATGAATTTAAAACATTAGTAGATCGATACTTACGAAGAGGTTCGATATGATTATTTCGTTCAAAAATAAAAAAAAAAAAGTTTTTAAATTTGATTTAACTATATCTTATTTATTATAGGTCTCCATAAAGGTGTACCACCTTTGTTTGTAAATCTTCGTTCCTTATATACAGATCAACAAAAGGTTGATATTATACAGTCTTTGGTTTTGGAATACAAAGAAGCATTAAAAGCTCATGGGCATTTTAATGATCAAGAGAAAGATAATCCGCGAGAACCTGCTTCGGCATTGTTATGGACTTATTATTATTTAGCACAACACTATGATCATCTTGGACTTACAGAAAAAGCACTAAATGAAATTGATGCTGCCATAGAACATACACCTACACTTATAGAACTTTTTGTTACCAAAGGTCGCATTTATAAGGTAAGTTTTGTTTTTGTAATATATATATATATATGCTTTTAATAATATAATTATGATATATTTTATCCTTAGCATGCCGGTAATGTTCAAGAGGCTTATAAATGGTTGGACGAAGCACAAGGATTAGATACTGCAGATCGATATATCAATTCCAAATGTGCCAAGTACATGTTGCGAGCGAATCTCATTAAAGAAGCGGAAGAAACGTGTAGCAAGTTTACCAGGGAAGGAGTTTTAGCTATGGAGAATTTAAATGAAATGCAGTGTATGTGGATTCAAACAGAAGCAGCCAACGCTTATAAACGTCTTGGAAAATATGGGGAGGCATTAAAAAAATGTCACGAAGTTGACAGGGTAAGGATTCATGACATGTTTGCAAATAATAATTCACTATTATGTACTCGCTCATATACGAATTGTATCGATTATAGCATTTTTCTGAAATCATAGAAGATCAATTCGACTTCCATACCTACTGTATGAGAAAAATGACTTTGAGGTCTTACGTGGGTCTTCTAAGGTTAGAAGATGTGCTTCGAGCTCATCCATTTTATTTTAAAGCAGCGAAATGTGCAATGGAGGTTTATTTACGACTACACGATGAACCGTTACCCGATCCAACGCAGGCGCAAGAAATCGACACCGGTAAGTTTGCATTCCTTGCTTCATTTATTTTTATCAATCAATTACTAAATATAAATAACTTTAACCGTTGTAGAGTTATTTATATTTAATATCTGTTCGTTAACAATATAAAGAATATAATACTCGTAATTTATTTTTATCGCGACTTCAAATAGAAGAAAGTTTCATTCATAAAGTTTCATTTGTACGAATTTTTTGGTTTTAAACGTTACATTTTATTTTTAAGTCCAAATAATCGATTTTAAAAAAATTCATTTGTCACTACATTGACACGTATCGTTTAAAAAAGTACTTTACAATCTAATCCTACAATAATAATATCATTTATTAAACGTATCTCGTTAAATATTTACATATACGATAAATCTTTTGATCGATTCATAAAGCATCGTATAAGAAATACAAAAGAATAAAAATCAATGTCAACTAATCGATACTGTCCGTAGAAACTATCGTATACGTTGATTATCGATATGTAATATTTTTATTGATATTTTTTCTTCTACACAAGGAAGGAAACTTGGTGATACAAACAAAGTTTATTCCATGCATGCATCGGTTATTAACATATTCTGTTTAACGATTTATAAAAATGCACTCTGTGCGCTCTACGACAGAATCTAAATATCGTCAATCATAATTATATGTACACAATAACGCGTTTACTATCGATCATTAATCACAGACAAGGCGCGAGTACACGACTGTCTTTCAAAAGGACCCGCGCTTACCTATCGTCGCACACGAGCGGCGTTTATACACACACGCACGTACACACACACACATACATACAACACACGCATATATATATATATATATCGTATCTAAAGCAGGGATAGAGTTAGATCGCATAAATTAAGCATTTAATATAGCATAGACGAGGCGTCGATAATCATCTATCTTAATCATACATACAATAGATACACGTTATATATATTTACACGTACAATAAATATCCTAGTAACGGTACAGAAACGTTTCGTCGTCGTTCGATTCACGCGTTGCGTTCTATATGACACGCATTTCCATCGTGCGTCCTCGACGATTGGTATATGGCATTACGTTGGCTGCCTCGCCGCGTACAAAGTATCACACGTTGCCCGGCCTCCGTCGACGTCTAGGCAGCCTCGTTCCCACTCTCGAGTAGAGGTGGCCGGCGCTACGCTGCTCCGGCCTCTGCGTGATCGCCTGCGGCGTTAGGAAGTAAAAGTGACCGCCATCGCCTGGCAATCGGTACGCGAAATAGGCCTTCGGTTTTTCCGGCTGGTTCTCGCGCGCAGGGAGGATCGGCTCGATGAATTCGGCGTCCGGGTTTAGGGTAGGTCGCGGATCCCGATAGTTCACTTTTATATCGTCCCCCAGATCGATGAGCTCTGCGTCCGGATTTATCGTGGGTCGTGGATCCCGATAGTTCACTTTGATGTCGTCTTCCAGTGATATGGGTAGTTGGGGATAGGCCACGTCGTCCAATTCTTCGGGAGACTCGACGACCGGTACGTAGTTGTTGTTGGGTGGGCCGATCCTTTGACTCACGAGCGGCTGGGACGGATAGGCGCGAATCGGTGCCAGCGCTTGATTGTCCCTAGATTGGTCGTGTATACCATAGTTGGAGGGTTGTCGCTGGTGGTCGACCACGGTGATAAACTCGCTGTCGGGATTGATCGGGGGCAGAGGTTGCCTTTCGTTGACGAGAATGTCCTCTTTGAGGGAGTACGGCTTTTGAGACTGATCCCCGTAGTGCACTTTGACATTGGGTATCTTGTACGACTGTTCGGGGCTCTTGAAATTCTCCACGTAACTATTCACGTTGTAACTCGGTGTTTCGGTGACGCTCTTCAATTTGGGGTACAAGGGTGTGGTGCTCGGTACATTCTTCCCGATCTTCTTTCCAAAGATCGTGAAGTACTCTTTCGTGACATCGTCCAGCAACTTCTCCTCCTGGCGAGTGTAATAACGTTGTTGAGGATTTTCCGTAGTGCTTATCACCGAGTGAGCGGTGCTCGATTGAAAGATCGGATGCTGATTCTTGTACACCTCCGTCCTGATTCTCTTTTGGGGAACCGATTCCTCGTAGTCGTATCTAGGCCCATTGTTATAATTCCCCCCAATTTGAACGTTTTGATAATCGTTCCGGTATGCAGCGTTGCCCTGCTGCCTCCGGTTACCGCCTCGCTTCGAATAATCGGCCGCTTCGAAACTGTACTGATAAATCGGCTTCGGTTTCGCCTCCTGCCTGTAATAAGCCTGTACCGGCTTCGAGGTGGTGTAATAAGGCTGAACGGGTGGTGGCCGGGCGGATACGGTCTGATAGTAGAGAGGCACGTGATCAGGTAACATGCGTTGACCGTGAGCTCTCGCCGAGCTGCTCTCGTACTTGGACGAACTTTGCGCGATCGTCGACTCGCCGTAGCGAATGGGTCCCGAATTTTTCACCGGCGAGCCTGAAAACCTGACATCCTCCTCTCGCGACGGAATCGCCTCTACCCTGTAATATTGCTTCCTCCTCTCCTCGATACCGTGTGGTCGAGTCTCGTAAAACGGCGACTCCGTCGTAGTTTCGTAATAAACCGGATTCGGGGGGGTGGTGCGGAGGGGTTGCTCGTTCGACTCCTCGTAAAAATAGTACGATGCTTGGCTGTGCGATCGTTGCGGATTGCCGGTAGTAATGATACTCTTTATCGAGGCCGGCGTCACTTCCACGGGTCTCTCCAAGGTGGACTGCGTCGACGTGGCGTAGTAGGCCATTACAGGAATCGTTTTACTCGTTACCAGGCCCGACCAAGCTTCCTTCTTCCCCTCCACGCCCTCCCCCCCACTCGTTACCTGATTCCCCGCCAACGGGCCAATATTGAAGAATTCCGGATTCTCGAGCGTGGTAGATTTATCGGGCGTCGATGTCGTAACTTCCACGTACGGGACCGTTCTTAATTCGGTCCTTGGGCCGGCAGACGGTTTCGTATCCGTATAGTTCTTTCTCGAGATTATCCTACCGAACACTTTCGTCACACCCGACGCACGATGATCGACGATTGGCACCGCGGTCGTCGTGGTCGTCGTACTCTTGTACCGTTTCGTGGTGAGTTTTCTGGGTGGCAGGTAAGTGGGCCTGGGCCTGGGCGAGGGAGTGGTTTCGGGTCGTTTCGTGTACTTCTTCGTCGTGGTCTTCTTGCTCTCCTCGAGAGCTGAGAAGAAATCTGGCGGGGGCGGCAGAATGATTCCAGGGACCAAAGGGCCCGGCGGTACCGCGGTCGCGTTATCTTGCTGATAATGGAAGCTATAGGGCGGTGGATAGTAAACGGATTGATCCTCCTCGTCGTAATCCGACTGATTGTTGCTAGGCGGCGGTACGAAGACCGCGCCGGGCGGTATCGCGTGATAAAAAGGTGGGAAACCAGGTGGCGACGCGTCGGGCAACCCCTCCTTTTCGCTCAGATTTCCATCCTCGGACGACGCGTTCCTCGAGTCGGACGTCACGACACTCCCGTTGGCAACGATCGTGAAAAACGGCCCATCCTCCGACAATAGGCCCTTGGTGAGAAACGAGTCCCTGTAGTCGACGGTCCCGTTCCCCACGTCCTTGGTCCCGTTCGGGCCGATGATCTGTACGGGCCCGCCTTCCGAGAGTTGTACCGGAAACGGTGGCGGAACCTTCGGTTTGGAGGGTATCTTGACCTGTCTCCTGGGCGCCTTGTAATCGTCGATCGGTGGCCAGGTAGGCGCATTGTCCCCGCCGTTGCTTTGCGTGGCCTCGTGGCCGGGAAATTTCCCTCCCCTCAACACGAGCACGTGGTTCTCGGCCAACCAGATCTCTTCCTCGTCGAGACCGCCCAGATTCTCTATCGTGTCCTTGGGCACCTCGGGGTTACCCAGATAGCTGATTATCCCCGGCCGTTTCGGGGATCCGTAGATCTCGTTCTGGATCAGCCCGTATTTCCCCTCTTTCACCTGTTGGGAGAGCGACTTCTTCTCGTCGTCCTCGTCTTTGCGGCCGGGCCTCGTCTCCTTCCCGTTTCCAGAGGACGAGGAGAGGATATCGTCGTCCCAGAACGCTTCTTGCGTTCTCGTCTTCTCCTCCCCCCTCAAGTGGCCCCCGATCAGTCTGTGCGACACTTTCCTTCCGACTTCCGTGGTTATCTCGTTGTCCCTGCCGGTCGATGACTTGAAACTATCGCTGTCGCCGGCCAACGTCCTCCCCGCTCGATGAACGGCCTCTTCCACGCCGACGTGCCGCCTTTCCCTGCTCGTCGATGATGCGACGATCGAGATGCTGCACGTCGCCGCTAATATCATTAAGAGGAGCTTTCGCGCGGCCACTCTTTTTTGCATCATCTGGAACAGGAAATGGAACGATTCTTTACTTCTTATATGTATTTTCATCTTTCTCTCTCTCTCTTTCTATATATATATACATGTTCTTTGAATATTTTCGATATTCAACCTCGAAGAAGAGAAAAAATTGATAACTGCGCGTGTGTCGATTATTTAACGAGATTTAATAATACCATTCGGCCTGGCAATCATCGGCTCTTTTCAAAGCAAACTCGTATCGAGTTGTTCGTCGCGAGACGTACGGTGACTGCCACCTCGACTCGAGGAAAGTATAAGTTTATTCTGCGGAGGTGTTTCCGTTCCACGAGAGTGGAACTTTGCTTTCCCCATTGAAACGGCAACATTTTCTCAACTATTGCATGGAAATAATAATTCCCGTTATTAGAAACTGATATATCGGAGATACGAGTAATTTTTTCCCGGACAAATTTCAATTTATACATATATATATATATATCGAAACTTTGGAATTGGAATCGATGAAGTTTTGTTGTTTCCTTCGAAGCTGTTTTACTTTTCGAACGGAAAAATGCTCGCGTTACCTTTCTTCTTTCTATCTCTCGAGAATAAACTCAGCAGAAACGATGGAATTTTATGGATGAGGAAGAAAAATAATTTCCAATTAATTTTCGAAGAGGAAAATTCGTTAAAAAAAATTTCACGGATGGCGGGTGAAATTTCGCGAGTTTAACGTTGGAAAATAATATAAGAATGCAGGTCCGGAGGGGAGGGAGGGCCACGCCTTTCCCTCGTGAACAGCTGGTGAACGGTGGTCGACAAACATTCACGGGTCACTGGAGTACCCAGGTCTTTGCAACGACTTGCAACCGAGTAAAACGAACCTAAGCCCGATCGTTTCGCCGGTGCACGATGCATTAGCCTCGAAATCCGCGACCGAGTCGTCGATCTCGCGGAAGTAACTCCGCTTCGTGACACGTTTCCGACAAGAATCTGAATTTACTGCCTTTATCTCCGCCTTTTACCTCTCGTCAGAAGGAAGGATGTTTGAAACAAAGATAATTGAGCCTCGTAATTTATCACCGGCGGAAAGGATAACGAAGTTGTTGTACTTGATTTTGTTAGATGGATGTGTGGCAATGATAATAATCACTAGTCGTTTCTAAATCGAATATCGAGTAAATTGTTGAACGAGCACGTATAACAGGATTTTATAGTTTTCCAAATTATTTTCAATGGCTCTTCGAAAATAATTTAAAATAATAACGACACTTGGAATTACCGTGATAAATCGCTCGAAATTAAAACGAAGCGTTTGTTTTAAAAATTGTTGGAAAGATCGCGGAAAACAAAGTTTTGAAACGGAAACGTCTGTTTAACCCAACAAACATACCGATATAATACGTCGTTGAGGAATGAAAGAGTACCTTTCTCTCGATTTCCGGGGCAGCCAGCCGCGATCGCTCGGCGTATAATCGTTGAGCACAGGACGTCGTCGAATGGCCTGTAATCGAGTTGGCACACGCAATAATGCGCTTCTTCCGAGGGGAACGTCGAGTTTGCGCTCAGCGGTTCACGACGATATTCCACCGCGACGAGTGGCAACGATTTCTCTCCGCGTGCGGCTTTTTAATCCTGCCCAGGCGAAAACGTGACGGAATCGTGAAATTCCTTCTCGAATATCGACCATCGGTTACGCTCAATCCCGCTTCCTATCTTCCGCTCGGATCGTCTTCATCGCCGCGAGAATGATTCGCGTTTTCGCCAGCCGATAACACTTAATCTAATCCGCGTTGATAGATCGGTGGTAATCGCACGTAACAACCGCGTATACTTGGCTTTCTCCTGCTTCGAAGCAATGACTTTGAAAATAATCGTCCACGAATGCACGCGTCCATCGATTTAAAAAGCATTAGCCGGCCGTTCCAACGTGTCAGGTGTTCGCTTTCCTCCCGATCCCACGAGGAAGAAGATCCTCCTCGCGCGAGCAACACGAAGGTCAGTCACGTCTGCGTCTCTTTTTCCTTGAGAGACACTTTCCACGAACTAACACGCTGATTGCATTCTGAAACATCCGTTTTTCACCGGTTATTCGAGAAAGGAGTTTATCGAGTTTGCTGCTCTTTTTTTCTTCCCCCTCCCCCCCCCCCAACTTGTCGAGGAACGAGATTATCGAGAACTATAAGCTATAATTATTCGAGTATCTTTTAAAGAAATCTTTTAAAGAGGACAAAAATTTAATTTTGAACTGTTTAATTTTATATACCCGAAATATATCGAAGCTCCGCTTTCTGTCTTTTCGTTATTTTAGAAAGTTCATACGTAATTTGTCAGAGGTCTGGAAGTAGCGTAACGTGTTTGTCTTGGAACGGGAAAAAGAGCACGATAAAACCTCAGCGTTTCTTGAACGTTTCGAAACGCTAGATAAAACGTTACAATTTAAAGGGAGCAGAAAATGAGTAGTAACCTAAAATCCTCACCAAGTTAGCCACAAAAGACGCGAGAAGAACGAGACGGTTTCGATATTTGTCCTATTGGCACTCGATTGACTTTTTTAACACGCGATCGAACGAAATTGAATGAAAATTGAACGTACACAGCGTGTAATTCCTCGAGAGATGAACGACGAAAATTCTTGGATGCACTTTTAACACGGTTTATAGACGCTTGTAGGCAGGGCGAAGATCGGTGAGAAAATCACTGAAACGCGCGACGAGAGGGCGAAGCTGGCGCGAACAACCGCTCGCGTTGGCATGGTACACGTGACTGGCCGGTTTTCATCGCCTTTCCCGGTGCACCGGTTCCTCCAAGGACGCTCGTTTGGAAAGGTGGAGCCATTTCCACCGGGCGACACGTCCACCTGGAAGCGAGGAAGTCGTTGTTCTTGATTAAGATTCGCACGCGATTCCCCGCGACTATAATTCGCACAATGCGCGATGAATCGTCTCGATCGGTTTTGCAGACGGCACGAATTCGCTTTGGCTCGCGTTGGCGAAAGAAGAAGAAGAAGAAAAAAAAAAAAAGATTTCGAAACGAAGGCTTTCACTTTCGTGCACAGCGTTTGTGAACTTTTTACTCGATAAGGGATTTGAAATGACAAAAACCGGATCAAGAGGACTTTTTTTTGTCGTTGACACGATGAGTGTCGATCTTTGAATATTTGTAGTTTTGCAGAGAAATATGGTATAATAATCAATTTGTGGGCTTATTTTAAAGAGTAAAACAGGGTAGGAAAGTAAGGATAATTTTTTCGTAAAATATATTTCATAAATTCAAGTTACGATTAAATTTTATAGAGCCGAGAAATTAGATGATTATCTGGTATTAATAATTTCCTTTGAATTTGGCAAGATTCTAAAAATATCTACCGTAACGAATTGAATTTATTGTTGTTCAAACAATTCTAGAATTTCGTGACATGACACCATCATCACGAGTTGTAGAAAAACAAATTTAAAAGAATGTCGAAACGAATGACGAATGGTACAGAAAATTTAAATTCTTCTCAACCGTAATAACAACTATAATATCAAATCATATGATACCTTTCGTTATACACATATAATCCAACTTTCTCATATTTCATCCAAAGTCTAACGAGCGAGTCTTGAATCAAGACGCGCGTAAAATCTCAAACGAATAATTAGCACAACCGTTCATTCGATATGACTGATTTCAAACCGTAAAAGTGATTCGAATTCTCTCACCCTGTTAAACGAAGAGCCTTGGTTGCTCTTCTCTTTGTATTTTCGCGCGCGTGAAGGGTTAGACAGGCTCGGAGGAGGAGATATTGCAAAAGGAGGAACGTGATTCCGCAACGCGAATCGCCGATTTTTCGCGACGTGACGTAAGAAGAGCGATACCCATGGCGTGGCAGGTGCCGTTACGCTATCGTTACGATCCGGGGCCTGCCGTAATATCGTTCCTCGAAGCCAGATTTTCTTTTTAATCGCGTGAGACTGCGTTAGATCTGACCGATTTCGTTTGGAACGAGAGCAATAAAACCACACGATTCAATCTCTGGCGTAACGGTACTTACGTAGGTGTAAATAGCTAAATGAAAGAAAATCGAAGGTTAAAGATGACTGACCGACTGCTCCTTCTTCGAATCCACGCGGCTCTATTCTGCAAATTAGCAAGGTTAAATTTTTGTTCCATCAAAATTTCTACTGCGGGGTAAAATTAAATTACGACGTAGAAATCGAGAAAAAAATTTTCTATGCCCTCCAATGAAAATGATATGTTCGGGTATCCATCTTGGTTCTATAACCCTGCAATGGTATCAACGCGCTATTTTTACCTCGACCCACAATTTTATAAAGATAAGCTCTTAACGCGTTTTTAATATTCTTATCCCGAAATTTCGTGATTCGAGCGATTTTCGTTACGATTATATGCGCGCGCGAGCACGCGGCCTTGAATGCAGGTCATCAAAAGCGCGCGGCGACGAAATGGCATTGAATCGAGGCGAGGGAACGGCGGTTCCCTCGAGAAAAGAGGCGGTGAAAGGCTGAGCGCCGAGTTCGAAGTGCCGATTTATCGGTTGAATATCGATTCGATCGAAAACACTCTCGGAAACACTCTCTTCGGGGAGAGAGAGAGAAAGAGAGACAAGGAGAAAGAGGCATTTTTTTCGAGGCAACACGTTGCACAGCTCGTGCGACGTACGTACGCGCGTGCCTCGCGTAAAGGCCCCCGTGGCGAGTTATCCAATTCGGTTTACGCTTTCAGCTACTTTCCTTTTTGTTTCGCGTCGTGCTCGGTGAGCAGCATTAATTCCTTAACGCCTCTCAGCCAACTTTCGGCGCGTCCCTAGTTTTATTATGCTTCCTGTTATGACAGAGACACCTGCCCTCCTTTGTGTGCCCTCATTGCTACGGTGTTGGTAACCTCTTGCGCTCTGGTGCAAGAGTAGAATGTATAAGTCCTTTGCTTCGGGGAGTGTCAGGCATAGGAGTGTAATAGATTTCTTTACAATTTCATTGCTTCCATAGCGTTTAACCTTTTCGATCTTTGCTTTGATTTTTTGCTCGAGCAGCGTTTTTTTCGCATTTTCGTGAAGAAACACGAAAGAAGAGAGATTAAAAGGGAAGAAATCACGTCACGAACAAATCGTACACGTCTGATTGTTAATTGTTTTCGATAAAACATTTAGATTCGATTCCAGTGTGTTCCCTATTATAATCGTAATCGTGCAATCGTTTTTTTAAAATGGAATTTTATGATACAATTGTACGTGAGTTCTTCGTGTCATGAATGCAAGCCATTTTTCTTTTTATTGTTATCGTTATCGAAACGAGCGTGCGATTCGATGTTAAAAAGGTTATTTAAATAATTGGATGTTGAATTGTGTAAGTGGCGGGCGCCGACTGAATTGAAACGATTCCAATGAAGTACAGATCTGCGTGCGATTTGTGGGTCATTGACTCACGAAGTCTGCTTTTTTTAGTCGCAATGATCCAAGATCAATTAGACGTGTCGCAAAGCATTTTTTCATTCTTGCGCTTGTAATTTTAGTTTTTGACTTCTTTCATCATTTATCCTCGTGACTAATTTCATGCTTGGGATACAGAATAGTTACTTCCTCTTTTCTTACATTACGCGCTTTTTCTTTTATCTTTTAGTTTTTGTAATTTTGCATTCTATTTCTTTTTTTTTTTTTTTTTTGGTTTCACTCTTTTTTCTACCCGTAGCAATATAGTTGTCATATTTGTGTTTCGTGTTCAATGTTGTTCGTGTATAAACCGATAAAAATTTTGTTTCTAGTTTATCTCCTAATTTCGTTTGCTTCGAAGTAACAAAAGACTCGGTGGACAGAAATTTCGTAAATTCCCAAATTTTCAGACCATTCACGTTGCTCGTAGCTTCGCGTTTACGTAACGCAGAGGTGAAAGCTGAAACGTAGAGTTCAACGCTTATCTTTGTCGTTTAAAACTAAACTCGGTTATCTGATCCTCGAATCGAGAAACCTTTTGCCACTTTGCCACTTAGAAAGAAAAAAAATTACATGCAACGATGCAACGAAGATTTGAAAACGTTCTCATTTTCATCCTTCTCCCAAAGTATACTCTTCAAAAACAAGAAGATTAAAAAAAAAAATTATCTTCTTATCGAATAATAAATAATTGCGGTGCCAATTTTAGCCAAATTTCTAATTCAAACGTTTCAAATAATTATTTGCCGCTCGTTCGAGCAATTATAACGTAACACGAGTGTTACACATCTGATTGTTAAAAATTAGATTAAAACGTTTGCCCAACGAAACAGTGATGATGAGCAGATGCATCACGTCTCCGCGTGTAATACTACCGTTAAAGGAGTGCACAGGTGGCGCGAAGAGAGGAGAGAAATAATCGAGCCGCGGGATGAACGAGACGAGCATATTATGCAAGCGAGTTGCCTTGCAGAGCAAGCAAGCCGGTCAATGCCAAGGTGTACCACTACGGTCGCCGATACTCGTCTCCGTGAGTTGAGCCTCGAGCCGGCAACCTCATCACTGATAATTTCGCCTCGCGGCGAACATGGGCCTCTATCTCGATTCTTCGTTCACGCGAAGGCGAATCAACGGCGGCGATTCAAGAGCGGTTTGATTTTTGATGGATTTGGTGGTAGGAAGATTTCGAGTCACAGGATTATTAGAATCGATATCCTCGAATTGATCGCTTGTGAAGAAAAATTGGGATTTTCATCTTGGGACGAAGTTTGTGTATTTTTTCGAATATTTTTGATTATCCAGCGAATGATTATTTATTGTTTGTTT